CGATCTGCGTAGTGGGTGCCACCGAATTTTAGAAATGTGGCAAGTCCCTCGTGTTTTTGCACCCTGACCCCGCCGATCTGCGTGAGGGGTGCCACCGAATGATACAATTTTGGGAAATCCCATGCGTTCTTGCACCCGCCGATCTGCGTGAGGGGTGCCAACAAATTATACAATTTTGGGAAATCCAATGTGTTCTTGCACCCTGACCCCGCCGATCTGCGTGAAGGGTGCCGCCGGATTTCAGAAATGTGGGAAATCCCATGTGTTTTTGGACCCTGACCCCGCCGATCTGCGTGAGGGGTGTCAATTTGTACCCACCCCAGCAATTCAGAGCATACGCTTCGGGAGTGGTACAGATGCTTGTTGTGGGCCTCCCCCCCTCGCGCGGTCCATCAACAAGGAACAGTAAGGCAGCAAGAAGCAGAACTGTAACAGTGGAAACTGGAAGCTGCAACTTGTACAGGAAGCTGCGAACAAGGGGCCCGGTGGCCCCACAAGGGAAGCCTACAGCCTGGTGGCCCCACAAGGGGCCCGGCGGATGAGCTTCACGGTTGGAGGGCTGTTTTTTTTCCGACGGGATTCTCGCTGGAACAATTTCTCGGGGCCCATGCTCAGAAATATAAAGTAGGGCAAGAGTTGCACATGCGGAGTGGTCTTTTCGAAACGGGGATCTCGCTAGACACATGTTTGAAATGTATGATCATACTGTTTCGCAAACTCCATTGCTCCAGGAGGGGTCGTCTTGGTCCTCCTCCTTTCCTGCGGGTTCCGGGACATTTTCGGGACGCCGGATTGTTTCCGTCAGCTCTGCCTCCTCACGGGGCGCTCCGGGACTCTGTAAAAGCCTTCGTGACTGGAACTCGCAGGGCTCCTGGTGCTGCTCGTATTCGCCAGCCCTCCTGGGAGGCCAGGGAACTGCCCCCCGACAGGGCCCATCTGGATCCGATCGATCTGATGCGAGATCCGTTCTGGCCGATCCGATCCAATTCGCTTCCGAAGCTCTGGCGATTCGATGCGGCCCGATGCTTTCATGGCGTTGCTGTGCATCCTGCCGCAGCCGATCCGATTCGATTTCGGCTCCGTGCCAATGCAGTCCGATCCGACGTACGTTCCGATGCGATCCGATTTCTCGATGCGATGCCGACTGGCCCTGCCCGTGGTTGCGGACATCACTTGGGCGCGGGCTGAGATCACACACACACACACAGGAGGGTTGGGAAGCGGATCGAAGCGAACCCAACATGCAGGAGCGCGGAAGAAGGAAGATACGTCACTAGAACCCATCAAACGGGGGGGGGTGGGAAGCGGACCTCATTGGGGCGCGGGCCGAGAAAAGAAGAGGCCTCTCTCGCCAGGCGTCTAGAGGCCGAGGCCTGCACCGCCCCAGCGCGGCGCGGCGGCGGCGCGGGGGGGGGGGGGGGGGGGGGGCGGGGATGCCGCCCCTCCGAACCGCTTGGCATCGCTCGGACGTGTGCATTTTTTCTCGGCGAGAACCATCGAGGACCATATTGGACCATCGAGCCAAAAAAAGCACGCACGAAATCGAAACATGCACGGGAAGTGGACGTCCGAGCGACGGCAAGACCGCGGCGGACGAACGCTTTCTTGGATGGCAGCGGAGCGGCACGGGGTCGCGGTCGGGGCAGCCGAGGAGCACCGTGGGGCCGAACGGGGCACACCAGGAGAGGGGGGGGGGGGAGGGCGCGAAGGAGGGAGAGGAGGCCGCGGGCGGGCGGAGCCCGCTCAGAGCATGCACGGCAGAAGAGAGCACACAGCACGGCGGGCGGCCCGGAACGGCATCGGGTTGCGCACGGGCGGCGCCCCCCCCCCCCCCCCCCCAGGCAGGCAGCCCTGGCGGGCCTCGGCAGGCCCACCGAGTCGTCTGAGGGGCGATTCCGAAACCCTGGCGCCAGCGCTGGCGGCGCCCCTGGGGCGCTCTGGGCCCCAAGGTCGGGGCGTTGCGACCGCCCTGGCCTGCTCGGGGGGCTCGTTCAGGCCAGCTGGGACTGCCTGGGGGGGGGGCTATCTGCGCGCAGCCCGAAGCCTTACCACAGAGGCGTCTGGCAGCCTCAACCCAGATGTGAACGACGGTTTTTGGCAAAGCTATGCCTCTCGGGCCCTTTGACGGGCCCTAGGGCCGTCATGCAAATTTGGTCTGACGGCCTCTGGGGATCCGCCTTGCGAACCGTTAGCGACGACGGGAGCCTCGGCACGGGGGGGCCCTACAGTCAAGACGCTGAGATAAGGACTTGTTTGGATTCAGGAGAAGCTCTGGTTTTCGGGCCGCTCCTCAGATCTAGCTCCTTTTTCAGGCGTTCCTCATGGTAGCACGATGGCCGTGCCTGCCCTCAGCGTCGTGGCGAAGTGTTGTCGCCATGCAGGAGAGGGGTCCTGCAGGCAGCGGGCCCGGAGGAGTTGTTTTCCGTGCTCGGGCGCCCTGGGCCCCACCCCCAGGCCGTGAGGCCGTCGGAATGATTTCCAGATGCCGAAAAGGGCGTCAAACCATTTTCAGTGTGTCGGAACACCAGATGCCACCAGAACGCGCTCAGAGCGTTCTTGTTTACACATCCCTGCCCGATCTGTATCAGGCTGGGTGCGAACGTACCACTTGCATATTTATGTCAGTTGCAATCGATGTGCACGTGAAAGATACATGCGAGATAAGACATACAGACGCGTGTATCTATATATACACATGCGCATACACGCGTATATGTGATCGAGGGTTGCCCCGCCTCCCAATGCTCACTGGATCGATCCCCCCCCGCTGGACGGGTACGCCCGTGAGCCTCGCGAAGGCCCTGCGAATGGGATCGTTCCCCCCGCGTGGTCGTGGCCCCCCTTTGGGCGTCATGGCGTGGTGGAGTGTGGACGCTCTGCTGCTTTCGCCTAAAGATGTCCGGGATCAAGGTCGCAGGGCCTCCTCGCGAATGGGATCGCTCCCCCTCTTGTGGTCGTGGCCCTGTGGGCGTGGCGTGGTGGAGGTTTGACGTTCCACTGCTTTCGCCGAGAGCTGTCCGAGCCCAAGGTCGCAAGGCCTCGCGAATGGGATCGCCTTCCCCCTGTGGTCGTGGCCTTGCGATCGTTGACCTGTGGGCGTGTCGTGGTGGAGGGTGGACGTTCCGCTGCTTCCGCTGAGCGCTTTCCGAGACCAACGTCGTTGGGCCTCGCGAGTGGGATCGTTCGCGAATATGTTCGTTCATGGTCGTCGTCGTCGTCGTGTCGTCGTCGGCGTCTGCGTCGTCGTCGTCGTTTTCGTTGTCGTCGTCGTCTTCGTCGTCGTGATTGTCGTCGTCGTCGTCGTCGTCTTCCCCCCAACCCATCTTGGGGGGGGGGGGCTGTGGAACCTCGGGGCCCTGTGACCCATCCCATCTGGGGGGAGCTGTGAACTCTCGACCTGGGATCATACATAGGTGTGTGCAGTGACCTTTCCCCCCATCCCGCCACCTGGCTTGAGCTGTGGACCAGAATCGGACTGGACACCTCTTGGGGTCTCCTTGAATCAGTGCCTCTTGGTTGAGCCAATGGCGGGAAACAGAAAAAAAAAAAAAAGAATCAGCGCCTCTTGGTCGCCTGTTCGGAGCCTTTTTTTGGGCCTCTTGGGATGCACGGGGGGCCGTATGGGGGGGCCTCTTGGCGAGCTTGGCGTTTTGGGGTGCTCCCGGTGCCGGTCCGTTCTCCCGTCTGGGACGGAACACCTTTTGCAGAGCGTACAATGGTCTGTGAATAGTTCAAACCTCGGAGCAAGTCACGCGACGATCCTTGGAAGCGATCGGCTGCGCACGGAACTCTGGGCTCAAACATCGGAACAAGTCACGCGACGATCCCTGGAAGCGATCGGCTGCGCACGGAACTCTGGGCTCAGGAGTAGCTGGCGGCCTTCGGGCGAACCCGACACGGCGCCCTGGGTCGTAGATCAGGGGCCCCTGGAATGCCCCGCGGGGATCTCTGGAGGGGCCTCTTTTGGGTTCTGGAGGGAAGGAGGAGGGCGAAGGATAGGCATGGAAGTGACTTGGCATACCTTTGCCGTAATATGGTGTGCCCCTGTGCGAACAGAGGGTAGCAGCGCGGGCCTTCGGAGGAGGGAGCGAGGGCAGCGAGCAGGAAGAGGAGGAATAATGCAGGATGGTGATTAAGAACTTACCGGGGGTCGTGTTCACGCGGTGGCGCCCAGGGTGATGATTTCAAAAACGGCCCCCCGCCGGGAAACTAATTTCTAACCAGTTCCTCCCGCACTCCTCGGGCGTGCGTTTTGACAGCCGACGGACCAGACGGAGCCGAAGCGACGCGGACGCCGAAGATTCGGAAATTGTGTCGCTAATCGTTCCCCCCCCACATTGTATTTTATCGATCGCCATCGTACATTACGAGCGGAACGAAGGGAGGCTGCGGCAGAGGGCACGACCGGGAGAGACAACGAGGGGGGGCGCGGGCGGCACGGGCTCGACTTCTGTCGCCACCCGCGGCAGGGCCTTCGCGTGTTCCCTTTCGCTCCGCGTCGACTTGTCCCTCGTGGACTTGCTCGACGCTGTCGCTGTGCATCTCCGCATCTCGCGAGAAATACTACATTTTTGATCGCGGCTCGTTGTTTTCCACTTTCTCGTGTGTGCCTGCCTTCCTCTAGTGCCCAATTCGTTTCCGGAGTGTCCCTCGCGTCGCTCGGCCGGCGTCTGACCTTTCTTGCGCCCGCAGAGCAAAAAACACATTCTTTCCCGCGTCTTTCACCCCGGCCACACGGTGCTCGTGGAGCGCCATTCCATGTCTCAGTTCCTGTGAGTTCACTTGTACAGCGTTGCACTTCCCCCCTCTGAGGCATAGTTGTCCCATTCATTTGTGTTGTTGTTGCTGTTATCCCTCACGCATCCCTCCATTTGCCGCCTTCCCACCACCTCCCTACTTTCTCTCCTCGCGTTTTCCGTTTCCCCGAGATCAAGGACACGCGATCAGGGATCGTAGCGCGTGTCGTTGCGAGCGCGTAGGTGATCCCACGAGAGGTGTTCATGTCTGATTACCTGATTGGTTGTTCCTTCCCGCCGCCCCCCCATGCTGAACAATATTGTGTCTAGATTGGGTTAGGTTTGACTTCTCGGTGGTATCATGGGGCCTCAGGGGCAATCTCCTGGCATGTTTGAGACATGTCGGGGCTATCTTGAGGCCTCAGGGGCATCGTGAGGGCGTCTTGGGGCTATCGTGGGGCTTTGTTGCGCTGTTTTGGGTTATTTGGGCGGCACCATGGGGCCTTCTGGGGACACCTTGTGGCCGTCTTGGGCAAGCTTGGGTACTTTGGGGGCCGTCTTGAAACGATGCGTGGACATCTTGGAGACAAAACGTGCGACCGACCAAAAAAAGCTAAAACACGAACATGTCCTGGGCCGTCTTAGGTGCATTTAGGGGTCAGCTTCGGCCGGCTTGGGCTGTTGAAGACCTCTTCGGAGCCTCCCAGGCCCATTTTGGATGCCTCTAGGGCCAACCTTGCCATTATTGGGGCAGTTTGGAGAGGTCACGGGTTGTTTTGTGTTATAGTGCAGACAGGATTGGGGAAAACATCAGGCTGTCCCATTGCAACTGCGGCTCTGTGATTTGCAGCGCGGAGAGCGCTAAGCATCCGAGGCCCCATCCGATCATAGTCGCTAAGCATCCCAGGCCACATCCTCTCATAGCTGAGCGGTGGGCCGCGCATAACAGCATACAGCGTTCACGTCTTGAATCAGTGACTGTCCCCACTTTCTTTTGCAGCCCAGTTTCTTTGACTGTCCACGTCTGCCGGGGAGCTGCGGATCTCTCCCACCGCACTGTGACGTTCCCCTGCTCCGTGCTGGCACCTCTCACTGCGCGAAGTGCGTGCATGGCTTGAACATCGGAGCCTACGATGGGGGCGTTCGCTACGGAATGTGCCAAGGAGGCTTCAGAACCGGAAGGATTCCTCATCTGATGAGGGCGGCGGGGATGTCCGTGGCGAAGCCTCGATTGGAGTTCTACTGGCTTTCGGACCCTGCTCCGTGCTTGCACCTAACCGCGCGAAGTGTGCCCGCGGTTTGAACATCGGAGGCGACGGCAGGTTCGTGTCGTGTCGACGCGGAGGTGGCCCCAGCGCAGACATTCAAGGTTGAACGTCGTTTGCGGCCAGGAATCGGCCGTTGTCGAGAATCTGCGCTATTGGAGAACCGCGGTCGATGAAGGTTGAACGATCCGCGCGGTGTCAAAACCCAGCGCAGAAGTCGTCGCGACACGAACCAGTCGTACGTGGGTATGGATACCGCAGAGGTACCGGACGAGGGCATTGTTTCTTGCCGATGTGTTTTTGCTCTTGTGCTGGACGGCTTCGGGGCTCCGCCATCCCCCCCCCCTGTATCGCACACCCCTCTCATCTTCTCATGTTTCGCTAATCCCTCATCCCTCTCTCCATCCTTTATCCGCCACCTCTCCTTTTCTTTCCCCCTATCCTCCCCTCCTTTCCTCTCCCGTCGCTCCTCCATCCTCCCCCTCCCCCTCCTTGCTCGATCTTGTCTGCCTACTGTTCCTTCTCCGTCCCGCCTCGTCCTGTTCTTCTTTCTCCTTATCTTTATCTTGTTGTTCTTCATTTTGCTTCCCCTCTTCCTCTGAGGACGACCAACTATACTACATGACGCATCTCGTTGGGGGGCGGCCCAGCAGATTGTCTAGCCTTGGTTTCCGAGCGTTGATGTTTTGGAGTGTTTCCTATGTAAGAGAAGCGGTATATCAGATCTACAGGTCTGGTACCGCCATGTACTGTTCAAGACGTGTCGTGTCCACCGCCCGCCCAGTCTAGTCCTCGCCAGATGAGGCGCAGACGGCACCCAGACGAGATGGCAATATTCCGAAAATGATGAAAAACTTGCCCTCATGTGTTTTGTATTTGTCCTGTGCTCCATTTCTTCATCGCGTCCCCGATTGGCTCAGGTACGCCAAGTGGCTGGTCGATGTTGAATTTGTCGATCAGTCATCGATGGGTCATCGTTTCCTACGGATCAGTGGTATGGACGCTGGCTTTCTTGACCCTGGCTCCCTATGCACAGCAGGAGGCGAGAGATAGCTAGAACACTGCCCGAGACAAGCCAAAGGCAGCCCGAGAACGGCCCGAGAGGCGCCCACAAGGGCCTGAACTGTAAATGTACTACTCAAGTGGTTTACGTCATTCCGCCGACCCCCAGAATATGAAATCTGCGGGCTTCGTCCGTATGTGTTCTTTCCCACTGTCCCGCCATGCTGACTGCGTCTGGTTGTCTCTCGCGTGTCCTCCTCCGCCTTTGTTGCGGGGCTTCCGAGTGCGAAAATCACGCGAACACTGTGGGGTAACAATGGTTTTTGTGTCTGGACGCCGTCTTGTGGGTCCTCTTGCACCCTGTGTGGGCGTCATCCGGGCCTCTTGGGCCGTTCTGAGGTCATCTTGGATGCTCTGGAGGCTTCTCTGGCGCGTTGGAGCCCTTCTTCGGCAATGCTAGGGGGCACCTTGGGCATTTCGGAGTCCGCAGTTGGTGAGTCTGCAGGCTCCGAGGGCCGGGGAGGTGCGCCGAGGAGCTCGTGCCCCCCCCCCCTCCCCCCCCGAGCGGGATTTTTGGATCCGATGTGGAGGGGGGAGAGGAGGGGGACAACCACATGTCTCGCACGTTCTTTCACCGCTGGCATGCGGGCGTCAGCGGACTCCTATCGACCACGCCCTGGGTCCCCCCAAAGTTGTACCTTCCGAGATGGTATAAGCAGGACTCCCAGAGTTTCCAAGATTGTTCACGGAGCGGCCACGAGAGGTGAAAGTCGTATACATTTGTTTGTGGTTTTCGATGCTTGTGAGTGCTCGGTTTCGGGAGTAGACCTCGCTGCGATAGGTCAGTTTTCGCATCCCAAATGCAATCATTACCATGGTTCCTGCTTCACAGAGCCTCCACAGGTTCAAGAAGGCCCCCACGCACCCCAAAACATACATCGCCGAACATGGCGGCGACGGCGGCGTTTGCGACGCATGCCGACGACAACGATAATGATTACTACGACCACGACGTCGAGAACGACGACGACTACGACGAGGACGACGACGACAACGACGACGACAAGGACGACGACAACAACAACGACGAGGACGACGACCACGACGACGACGACGACGACAATGACTACGACGACGACAAAGACTACTACGATGACAATGGCTGCTACGACAGCGACGACCACGACGATGACCACGACGACGAGGACGACGACGACAAAGACCACGACCACGACGACCACCACGACGACAATGACTGCAACGACCACGACGACGACAAGGACGACGACCGCGACGATGACACTGACGACCACGACCACCGCCACGACGACAACGACGACGACGACGACAATGAGTACTACGACGACGGACGGCGACGAGGACCAGGACGCCCCCGACGACGACGACCATGGCGACGACGACGACCACGACGACGAGGACGACGACGACGACGACCATGACGACGACGACCACAGCGACGACGGCGTCCCTGACGACGACGACCACGACGACGACGACAATGACTACGACGACGACAAAGACTACCACGATGACAACAACTACCACGATGACGACGACCACGCCGATGACCACGACGACGAGGACGACGACGACCACGACCACGACCACGACGACCACCACTACGACAATGACTGCAACGACCACGACGGCGACAAGGACGACGACCGCGACGACGACAATGACGACCACGACCACCGCCACGACGACGACGACGACGACCATGTCGACAATGAGTACTACAACGACGACAACTACGACGACGAGGACCAGGACGCTCCGACGACCACGACAATGACGACGACGACGACAACGACGACGAGGACTACGACGACGACGACCACGACGACGACGACAACGACCACAGCGACGACGGCTTCCCCGACGACGACGACGACCACGACGACGACGATGACGACGACCACGACGACATCGACCACGACCACGACGACCACGACGACGACGACGACGACGACGACGGCGGCGACGACGACGACAATGACTACTACGATTGCAATGGCTACTACGACAGCGACCACGGCGACAATGTCTACGACGACAACGACGACGAGGACCAGGCCGACTTCGACGTCGATGGCCACGACGACGGCGACCACCACGATGAGGACGACGACGACCACGACGACGACGATGACCACGACGACGAGGACGACGACGACGACCACGACGAAGACGACCACGACGAAGACGACCACGATGACTGCTACGACGACGACAGTGACTGCTGCGACCAGGACGACGACGACAACGACGACGACGAGGACGACGACGACGACGACGACGACGACGACGACGACGACGACTACCACCACGACAACGGCGACCACGACGACGACGTCAACCACGATGTCGACGACGACGACGACCACGACCACGACGGCGACGACGATCACGACGACAACGACGACGACAAGCACCGCGACCACGACGTCGACGATGACCACGACGACGATGACTACTGCGACGACGACGGCGAGGACCAGGACGACCACGACGACGACGACGACCACGACGACGTGGACGACGACGACCCCGACGACGACGACGACCACGACGACGACGACCACGAAATTGACGCCAACGACGACGATGACCACCACGACAACGACGACCACGACGACGACGAGCACGACGACGACGACGACCACGACGACGACCATCACGACGATGACGGCCACGACAACGACGACGACGGCGACCACCACGACGACGACCACGACCACGACCATGACGACTACCAAACTGACGACGACCACGACCACGACCACGACGACCACGACGACCACGACCACGACCACGACCACGACGACGACGACAATGACGACAGTGACTACCAAGACGGCGAGGACCAGAGCGACCACGGCGACGACGATGACACCGACGACGAGGACGACGACGAGGACGACGACGACGACGACAACGACCACGACGACGACGACGACGACGACGACGACGACCACGACCACGACGACGACCACGTCGACGACGACCGCCATCCCAGGCCCGCGCGCACGCCTCGGGCGTTCGGCACGGGGACCTGCGGCGCGCACCGCGCCCCCGCCCCACTGGGGGGGTGGGGGGGGGGCTGCAGGGAGTGAGGAGGAGGAGGAGGAGGAGGAGGGCGGAGGAGGAGGAGGAGGAGGAGGGCGGAGGAGGAGGAGGAGGAGGAGGAAGAGGAGGAGGAGGACGACGAGGAGCAGGAGGAGGAGGAAAGGAGGAGGGGGAGGAGGAGGAGGAAGGAGGAGGAGGAAAGGGGTAATGCTGAGATGCTGCTGAGCGCAACCGGGCGCTAGGCGAGCAGCCCCTCGCCGCCGCTTGGTCCACCGCGACCGCCGCCAGCGCAGTGACCACCACAAGCGGCCGCGACCACAGCCACGAACCCAGACCACCACGACCGCCAACAGCACGACAACCGCTGCCGCCACCACCACGACGACGACTCTGAACACGACGACCCCCGCGACTATCGACGCCGCGACCACGACCAGCGCCGGCACATTCACCACCGCCGACAAGCACTACGACCTCGACCACGGCCAGCACGACGGCTGCATGACCACCATCACTGCCACTATCGCCACCGACCCGACCGCCCCCGCCTCCGGCCGCCCCATCTTCGTTCCCCTGCCTGCCCCTGCGGGCCGCCCTTGCTGTCGCACGCGCCTTGCACTTCGCCTCCGCCTTCTTCCTCGCCCCTCCCTTTTACTCTTCCTCGTTCTCTTCCTGGGAATTAATTAGTTAATGTGGGACCCCTCGCCGAAGGCGGCGGTGTCGCTGGCGCGCGGGCGCGATTGGATCGACCATTCGCGCCGCCCCAGGGGTACCCTTCGCGTGTGCCGGTCCCTTCTGGGAGCCGCTGGGGCCATGGCGGGAGGGAGGGGGAGGAGGAAGAGGAGGAGGAGGAGGGGGAGGTGGCGGAGGAGGAGGGAGAATGAGGAGGAGGAAGAGGAGGAGGAGGAGGAGGAGGAGGAGGAGGAGGAAGAGCGAGGAGCAGGTAGGAGGAAGAGGAGGAGGAGTAGGGAGAAGGAGTAGGAAGAGGAAGAGGAGGAGGGAGGAAAGGGAAGAGGAGGAGGAGAAGGAAGAAAAAGAAGGAGGGGAGGAGGAGGAGGAGGAGGAGGAGGAGGAGGAGGAGGAGGAGGGAGGAGAAAGTGGAGGGGGAGGAGCACGAGTGGGGAGGAGGTGGACGAGATGAAGGGAGGAGGAGGATGACCAGAAGGAGAAGGAGGAGGGGGAGGAGGGGGAGGAGGTTAGAGATTAGAGGTTCGAAACCGCCGAGACAGCATGATGCTTGCTCATTTCCGCGGAAGGCTTCTGATGATCATCTTCGACGTCCTTGAACTTTTTGTTGCCTTTCGGGATACGTTTTCATAGCAGGGCTTGCTGGTCCTTGCGCGCCCTGAGGACGCCCAGGAGAAAGGAGGGATGGGGGAGGCGGAGGGGGCCCGGGGGAGGAGGAGTAGGAGGGAGGAGGAGGAGGGAGAGGTGGAGGAGGAGGAGCGGCCGGAAGAAGAGAGGAGGACGACGGCGAACGACGAACACCAAACAATGAGCGGCTGGTGCGTTCTGCTGCCGCCCCGGATCCCCATCCTGCAGAGGTCATGCAAGGTCCCAGGAGGCCTCTGGAGGCCTCCGCAGGCCCGACAGGGGAGGGCCAAGACCGTCCCGGAATCTCTCCCCGCTCGGCCCTGGGGGCCTGAGCCAGGCACGAGCGGCCGCACAGGCCTCTGGTGGCCCGACGCTCGCGCTGGTGCCTGGACCCCCCCATCGAGGCCCTCAAGGCCCTCGAGGCTCGAGCGTCCGAAGACCTCTCGCCCCTCGACGCCCTCGAGGCGGCAGCGGCTGGCAACGACGGCGAGGGCACGACGAGCGGAGAGCGGCGGCCGCGGGGGCCGACCGCGCGACAAGCGCACGACGCGCGGCGCGCGGCGCGCGACACGACGAGCGGCGGCGGGCGGCGGCGGGCGGCGACACGACGAGCGGCGGCGGGGGCGGCGGCCCGCGAGCGGCGGCGGCGGACGGCGGCGGCCAGCGAGCGGCGGCGGCAGCGGCGAGTCGACGAGCGACGATGGGCGGCTGCGGCTGCAGAGCGAGGGCGAAGGCCCCAGGCCCCCTCGCGTCGCGAGGAAGGTTCACGGCGTTGTTCTCGCTCCTTCAGGCTGCCCTGGTGCCTTGATGCGCCCGTTTTGAAGTGCAACACGTCGCGTGTTCAAGTCGTCAGTGTTAGCACGCTGCGTGTTAACACAGCATGTTGGCCCACGTTTTGGCCGACGCATCGCGCCAAACGTGCGTTTTCAATCTGCGTGTTGAGCTCCGTGTCACCACGCTTCTTGCTGCGTGATGCGTTGCGTACCTGGGCAGCTAAGTTTCGCTCTTGTTTTCTCTGGCGACATAATGTGCCCCTCTGGGCACTCGCGGGGCCCCTGGGCCGCCCAAAAGCTATGGCTTTGTTGGGTTGACCCGGTCGACTCGAGTCGACTCGGATTGAAAAGCTTGTCCTGGGGACGGGATCGAGTCGAAGCCTCACCGCGGGGGCCCATGCTGTGAGCAGAGACACGACTCATGCGCGAAAAACACGCATATCCGCGGCCTCGTGGGCCGGCCCCCCGGGCCGTGACCCCGCGGATACGGTGCATGTTTTCGCGGGAGCCCCGCGCGGACGTAGCTTTGACAGCTTATTCGCGGGATCGCGCTTCGCATTCCAGACCGCGAGGGCGTGGACACGGATATGTTCGCCGCTCGTTGGGGGGGACGCACCAATAAGAGGGCGCCCGCCCAATGGCTCCTCTCGTTGGTGGTGGTGGTGGTCGTCGTGGTTGTAAGTCGTCGTCGTCGTGAGTCGTCGCACATGGGGCGGAGGCGGCGTGCGAGCGAGGGCGGCAGGCGCGGCGGGCGAGAAGACCCCGAGAGAGCCGGCAGGCCCAGCAGCCTGGCGCTGACCTCCAAGCTGCCCGACGCCAGCGTGCTGCTCTGCGACCTGGGGCTCGCCGACGCCCTCGACCCGGAGCGCGGCCGCGCGACCCCATGATCCCTGGCGGCGCGCTCTTCGTCCCGGTCCCCGGGGGTGTCTGGCCTCGACCTCGGCCCCTGATATCCCCGGCGGCGCGCGCTTCGTCCAGGTCCGGGCGTGCTGCTCCTCGACCTCGGGCTCCGCGGGGCCCGCTCTCGGGCCGGGGCCCGCGGGGCCGGCGTGGCCCGCCTGCCGCCTGCCGCCGGCCGCCCGCCCCGGACCCCCTCCCGGACACTTCGCCGACAGGTCGCTTTCGGCCCGCGGGCGCCGTGGCGTCTCGTGCTTTCGGGCCGGCCGACGACGAGGGCGGCGACGACGGTGGGCCGACGGGTTCGCCTGCCTCTCGCCCTCGTCGCCGTCGGCCCGCGTCGTCGTCGTCGGTTGTCGTCGTCGGCCGCCGTCGTCGGCCGCCGTCGTCGGCCGCCGTCGGCCGCCCGCCGCCTCTCGAGCTGGGCGTCTCTCTCGCGCCCGAGGGCCCTCACGGATCGGTGCGGCGCGGACGTTGCCGCGGAAAGGTGTCGGGTCGGGCGAAAGGGGGTGTTTGGGAAAGGGGGGGGTGCGAAATCTGCTGCATGCAGCTGGTTTCGGCCCCACCGAGGGGCCCAGTCCTCGATACATGGCCGCCTCCGGCGCCGGGAGGCGCCGGGAACATCAGCTACGTGAGCTGATTCTCAAACCCCCCCTTTGCTATCCCCCCCTTTCGCCCGACCCGAGAAAGGTGGGGTCCAGGGCTGTGGTCGTGAGTTGTGTCAGGCTTCCATGTTTTCGCGCCGTCGTATCTCAGGGTCGATCTCGGCATCCGGGGTCCTCCTCGATTTCGACCTCGGGGCAATTTTTCGCTCATCACCTGGCGATGACGGGCGTGACCAGAGGGGGGGGAGGGGAGGGGAGGCGGGGGCCGGTCTCTTAATGACTCGCTCAGGCGACGTATGGGAGTACGTATTCAAGAATTGCGAACTTCCAGACTGTGCTTGCACGAATCGTGACGTGACCAGGGGACGGGGAGGGAAGGGCGACGGGGCCGGTCTTGGGAACTATCGCGAATAATGAAAGAGTGGGCTTCTCTTGGGCCCGTCGCCGGGCCCCAGTGCCATCAAGCGCGGGTTCAGGACGCAGGCTTCTACCCCCGCAGTGGGGCTGCGTGCCCATTGGGCGACTCATATCGGAGAATGTCTGGGGTTGTCGTCTCCGCTGCCGCCGCCGCAACGCCCATTCTGATTCGATCGGTCCGATTCGAGATTTGAGTTCGCCGCGCTAGGTCCGATCTGGACTCCATGTTTTGGTCCGTCGGCGCGGTGCGGCCCCCCTTGCTCACATGAGCACGGCTTGTGCATGCTGGCGTGGCCGATGCGATTCGATTCCGACTCAGTGCCGATGCAGCCCGATCCAACACACGTTCTGATCCGACTTGGGTTCCCGAGTCGATGCTGACTGATCTTGTCGCCGTCGTTGTCGTCGTCGTCGTCGTCCTCGTCGTCGCCGTCGCCGTCGCCGTCGTCGTTTGCGTTCGTCGTTGCTCGTCGCTCGTCGCTCGTCGTCGGTCGCCGCCCGCCGCCGGGGCTCTCGGGCCGTTCGTCGATAACCGCCGTTCGTCGGTCCGTCGGTCTTCTGCCGTCCGCCGGTTTTGAGGTCCGTCTCCGTCGTCGTCCGTCTTTGTCGTCGTTATTGTTGTCGTTGTCGTTGACATCTTCGTTCGCCGTCGTCGTCGTCCTCGCCGTCGTCGTCTTGTTTTCTTCGTTGGTCGTCCTCGCCGTTCGCCGTCCGTCACCGCTAGAGGGGGGAGAATAATGAACAGGAGGAGAAGGAGGAAGACGAGGGACGAGGATGAGGAGGATGACAGGGGGAGAAGATTGACGAAGGATGAGCAGGGGGAGGCGCAGGCGGAAGCGGGAAGTGGACGAGACTTCACGGTGTCCTCACAGTGAGGAAGTCGTGACGTCGGTGGTGTGGGACTCCATCCATGTCTTTCTTTCCTCCCCGTTACTGTCCTGATTATATCTCTGTGCAGCCGCACCACCTTTGCTTCCTTTCCTGTCCTGCAACCCGCAGCCATCCCTCTGCTGCATCATGCCATAGATTACTCACTCCTCTCTCCTCCTCTCCTCTCCCTCATCCCTTCTCCTCTTCCTCCTCGGGCCACGCGCGCTCCTCCTCCTCCTCCTCCTCCTTCTCATTGTCCTCCTCCTTCTGCTGCTGGTCATCCTCCTTCGCCTCCTCCTCGTTCCTTGCTCCTGCTCCTCCTCCTCCTCCTACTTCTGCCCCTCCCTCATCCTCTTCCTCCTCCTCTTCCTCCTTCTGCTGCTGGTCCTCCTCCTCCTGCTCCTCGGCCTCATCCTCCATGGTCCTTGCTCCTGCCCCGCATCCTCCTCCGCTGCTTGCTCCTTCCCCTCCATCTCCATCACGTATCCTCCTCCTTCTCCTCCTCTCCCTCCATCTCCATCAATTGTCCTCTTTCTCCTCTGTCCCTCTCTATATATCAATCCCTTCTCCCCCCCCCTGCCCTTCATGCTCCTGGTCCTTGCTCCTCCTCCTCCGATTACATCTCCATCCCCGTCCCATTCTGGATAACTGCTCCACGTCTGGCCACCAGACGCGTCGGTAGGGCGGGCTGGGCGTTTCACCTGAGACGTCCTGCGCGAACACGTCTCGACATCATTGCAAATCCCAGCGAGTGCACGCATGGAGGTGGGATGGGGGTCAAACTATTGTTCGCGCCCCAGTGCCCCGCACACTTTTAAACGTCCCCGATCGTGACGCTGATGGGGGGATGTCAATATGTGGCTACCGCCTGAGCTCCGCACACGTTCGTTGCACAATTCCGTAACATTTACGTCCGTCTCCAACGTCCCCAATGGCCAAAGGGATGTAGGGGGTCTTTCAAAATGTAGGTTTCGTCTTAACGCCGCGTTCACGTGAGTTCAGCACTAGGAATTGTTACCCAGATGGGCTCGTGCGCCTTCAAAGTGTAAGTTCGATTGGGCTGTATTCAATCGTCGTGGTCGTCATGGTCAGGGAGTGCAGAACATTGCAGCAGTTTCACGGATGAAGGGCAGCCTCTTTTCAATTCGGAGTCCTCGCGCGAGAACTCCTTCGGCTTTATGCCCAGAAGTTCAAACTTGAAAGAAACTTGCATGCACCGCAGGCATGTTTGTCAAAGCTGCTCATGATCCTACCTCGTCGCCGTCCTTGTCGCAAGAAGCGACATGGTGTAGTTCACTTGCGCTTGGGCAAGGGATGGGTCGTAACCGCACCAGCAAGGCAAGGGTGGGGTCCAGACCTCCCCCTGCTTTAGCCGCCGCTAGCAGACGAAGACGTCGACGACAGTGGCGACGACAATGACGATGACAATCACAACCACGACCACGGCCTCGACGACGGGCCCCCGACTCATGGTCGTCTTCGTCGGCGTCGACGTTGACGACGTCATACGTCATACGTCGTCGTGGTATCGTGAGCTGGTAGTGATGGTCGTCGTCGTTTGCCAGAGGCGTCGTCGTTCTCTGGCAGCGAGTACAGGGGGAGAGGCTCGACCACTCCCCCCCGTGCTGCGGCAGTGGCGAGTCCGCGTAAACCTCCCTCCCCCCTTGCGCAAGAAGATTCCCTGTTTCGGAAGGGGCCTCTGGATTGTTGTGTCGGGGGGAGCGGTTTCGGAGACCCCTCCTTTTGTGGAGTTCTGCCAGGCGAGCGAATTTGAAACGTGCTCGCATGGGTGGCAGCTGGACTTCGGCGGAATTGCAAGACCAAGTGGTGCTCGTCTTTCAAGGGGGCCAAGGGGGCACCTCCCGCAGTACAAAAAATTGCGATTTGGGACGGGTCGGCGTACTGCAGCATTTCGGTGGAACTCTTCGAGCGGGATCGGCCCGTGAGGGCACCAAGATTCGTGCACCGTGCCAGATTGCCCGGTGCGAACAAATTACGACGCCCGGATCTGAGGGTACCCCCTCGTCCCTCCAACGTCACATATGTTTGGTGTGTGACGCGGGTCCCCCTTGGGTCTCGACCCCTTCGCAAGTGCAGCAGTTTCACCCCGAGCCGTCTCATGACAGCACCAGGGCCTGGAAACGGCTTCCAGGAGCTGGACACGTCGACAAATCCGACCGTCATCATTTCCTCGCGTCGTCTGGATCTGAGGGCTGGGTCCCTCGGCTCAGGCAGTGACGAAGCGTCTTGGTTCGCATGTAGGCCAACACCAGCATGTCCCGAAATGCGTGGTATCTTCCGAATGTTGTTAGTACGTTCACCTCTGGCCACGACAGCCTCTGCTGCAGCCCATCGGACCTATATATATGAGAGAGAGAGCATTGCCTGTTCTATTCGACCATCATTCCTCTGCTTCGGCAGCACTTACTCCGTGGAAGGCATATCTCTCGTTCTCTTCTTCTCGCTCTCTCGCTTTCTGTACACATTTCTATACATACATACATACATACATGCATGCATGCATGCATACATACATACATACGTACATAAGTACATATCGATGTATGAATTCCCCAAATAGTGCTTGCACTTAGGTTGTCTTTTTTGGGTCTAAAGAGCTGGGCAGTGTCTTCGTTGAGGCGGTCATGCGGCTGCCGCCGCCGCCCCAGCGCCGCCTCGTCGCCAGCAGTCGTCTGGGCCGTGTCTTCGGTCTGGCGGCTATGTGGCTGCCGTCGCCGCCCCGTCGCCGCCTCGTCGCCGCCCGTCGCCGCCGTCTGTTGCACGAAACAAACACATTGCAGCGCGCTTTTCCATCGCTCACAACACAAGTTGCACCACGTATATTGCACAGCATACGTTGCACCACGTATGTCTCACTACAGACACTGCACAGCCACATGAATAGCACCACATAGCTTGCACAACATATATTGCAGAACCACCTAGATTGCACGCCATATGTTGCACGACATGGATTCTCCTTTATTCTCCTTTTTTAAAAAGAGAATAGACTCTAGCCCCCCTCCCCGGCGTTATCGGTCCCCCCTTTCGGGTATGTAAATCATATCTGGTTC